AGCACCAGCCCGCGGGCAGCGAGCAGGAGAGCCCGGCGCTGCGGCCGGGACCCGGCGTCGCTCTGATGAGGGATGATACCTGGTGGGAACTGCAAAGTACACCGATGAGGGAGGGTGGCTCACAGCTGCGGGGGGTGTCAGCTCCCCTTCACTTGCTGCCGACACTCTCCGAATCGAGAGGAGAGCTACTAGGAGGGGGAATCGGAGCCCAGAGAAGGTTGTGTGGGACTCACGGCATCCCGGCAGCCCTCTGCGTCCAGCCACGGCCGTCTCTGCCCGTGCAGCAGCCCGTGCTGCAGGCTGGCAACAAGCAACCCCCCCATTTTGACACAGCCCCGCCAGAGCTTTCACCGAAGCTGCGGGCAAATCTCCCGCCCTCCGGGCCGTGGCCATCCCAGGCGCTGCGGGGAGAGCCCACGGGTGGGAGATGGGGTCCCTCCGGCCCCCTGAGCGCCCAACCAAGGCGCTGGTTTCGACCTCCCTGGGGTCATTTCTGTCTCCTCCACCCGTACCCAGGCTGCAGCCTCTGTCCCCCGTGACCCCGCTGCAAGCCCCAAGGCACAGGCAGCCCAGAGCAGATCGACTGCTTTTTGGTATCACCTAAGTTAATTATAAGTTGCCAAGCATTTATGTAACCCCTCATGACAAAGGTACGTTTGGTGAGAAGCCGCAAGTCGTGCCGTGAGGCAGAAGCACCAGCTCCTCTCCAGAAGTAGCCCCGGGCGGGCGCGAGTGGCCCTGCAGGGACGGCTGTAGGGTCCCGGCACCCACTCCTGACACCTCTGATGCCACAGGACCTTCCCTCTTCCCCCCCTGCTCCCTCCCTCCCTGTGGCTGTCCCCTGTTGTTGGAGAAACATTTTTCAAGGCTTCTACGGCCGGGTTAGCAAGCTACCGAGAAACCTCCACGTTACTGGAGTTAACAAAGCAGCTGCCATAAGGTTTTCCTAAATGTTTGTTAATGCAATAAGACCTACTTCATTTCTCTGCTAGCTCTGATCGTTATTGTTATTATCACCTCTCACCAAAGGCGGCTGCAATTTTAGATTATATTTTAGTAATCACAGGAGAAATTTCCCCTAATGTTAATCTAATCTACGCGAGTGCTATGATAAATACCGTTACAGGCAGCGGTAGTCTGGTAAATTATAGACCCATGTGTAACTGTGTTTATTGTGCATTTATGACCATTTCCCCACCTTCTGCCCAATTACCTGTTTCTGCTGGGACTGGTCCTAGAGCGCCAATCTTCTCAGCAGCCGTGGAGTGAAACGGGCTGGAGAGTGCAGAAAAGCGGTTTTCTTCCCGGATGAGAGATTCGGGGACCAGAGAGGTCTGCGCAGGGACAGCAGAGGAGCGCTGGTCCTGGTAACTTCCCACCAACGTTGAGGGGAGCTCCGTGCCCTGGAGAGCAGCACACTGGGACTGCGGCTGCCCCTCACCGCACAGAGCACTCGGGTACCCCAGACACACACCGGGACCACAGCGCCACTGACACTGGAGGGGCCCTCAGGGGGTCTCTAGTCCACCCCCCTGCTCCAGGCAGGGTCAGCTGCAGACTCAGACCAGTTTGCTCACGGCTGGGTCCCACCATGACTGGAAACCCTCCGCTGGCGGAGGCAGCACAGCCTCTCCGGAGAGCCCCCGCCAGTGCCGGGGGGTCCTGCAGTGACACCGGGCACCGTAACAGGGCACACAGCCGCACGGTGCGCACGGGGGCACCGGCAGCACACGCGTCCGCCCTCAGCGCCTGGGCACACACAGGCACCCGGGAACACGCGTGGCACAGCTCCCCACACACACGGGCACACAGACCCACAGCCACACGGGCACCCCCCTGCACATGGAGACACGCTTGTACATGGGCAAACGTGCAAATAAACACGTGCAAGGACATACAGACATGGACACACAGAGGGATGCTGCCCACGGAGGGACACACGCCCACAGCACACCCCCACGTGTACACACAGAGGCACACACACAGCTCTGTGCCCGTCACCCACACGCACAGGGACACACCTTGCACACACATGGGGACAAAAACACCCCCGCCACACACACACACACCGGCATCACCTTGCACACGCATAGGGACAAACCCCCCCACACACACCAGCATTACTTTGCACACGCATGGGGACAAAAACACGCCCCCCCACACACACACCCCAGCATCACCTTGCACACATGTGAGGACAAACACCCACACACCCCCGGCATCACCTTGCACACGCCTGGGGACAAACACAGCCCCACACACACCCACCCCAGCATCACCACACACACGGGGACAAACACACACATCCCCCCACACACCGGCATTACCATGCACACGCACGGGGACAAAACACACACCCCCCCCAGACACACTGGCATCACTTTGCACACACACAGGGACAAACACCCACACACATACCCCCACACCGGCATCACCTTGCACACGCATGGGGACAAACACACCCCCACGCACACACACAGACACCTCCGACGTGTGTGCACACACACACACACCCGCCCCCAGGGCCTGCACACTCAGACTCACCCCCACGGACCCACACCCCCGCACGGGTGGGCACGGACACGCTCCCCTCCCACCCCCGCACACGGACCCCCGCATACATCACATCACACACAC